TCAAAGGAGAAAAAAATACAGATCTCTGAAGACCTTACTCTGACAACTCACTTAACAAGCACAAACTGTTTGTTCTCAGAAAAGTCAGCTTTTGAATTTGCAGAAGTTGAAAGGTTCATTTTTGGAAACAGCTTGTCCTCAAGTTTTTTAGTAGTTCAGTTAAAGAGAGTGGGAGTCATAGAATGAGTGCAATGGAAATATTTTAACCTTCCCAGTGACCTTCTTTGGTGCATGATAGGGAACTGTCCAATGTTCAAATAAATCAAATTTCTGCTAAGTTTCCTGAATGGTGCTTAATAAACAGCACTCTACTTTGAAACCAGTCCCTATAATTTCTAAAAATCTGATTGTTCAGAAAAAAAAGAAATTACACAGCGAAGTAGAAGCATCCAAGCATGATTAGATAGTTAAGTACTGCTATTTACTATAATAAGACCATTTTAAGATAGTTTTATTTACATATTTAACATGTAAATAGACTAGAGTATTTATGTAGAAAGGCTGTAAGCATTGCGGTTAAGATTTCAAGCTCTAAATCTCTGGATTTAACCTGAGCTCCTCAATTTACTAGCGTTCCATTGGGCAACTTAATCTCTGTAAGCTTCAGCTTCCTCACAGGTACAATTGGAATAATAATAGTATTTGCCTCATAAGGTTATTGTGACTCTTCAATTAGATAGTACTGAGGGTCACTAAGTAATAATTTGATCTTTATATTTAAAACATTGTGTCAAATAGATTTTCAGCATCTATTTAGGTAGAGAAGGCCCATTATAAGCAGAATCAGAGAATATTAAAGTCCGTCTAGTGAGTCTTTTCATTTTACAAGAAAGAAAACTAAGCAGTATTATAGGTTTTATTCTGACAAAGATTTTTATACTCTGAGCACAAGTGCAGGGTTAGGGACTCAGGATCCCAATAGAGCGTGGGCCTCATGGGGCGCCTCTACAGGTGTTTGCGGTGCATCAAGTATCTACTGCTTGGCTTCAACCTGATCTTTTGGCTGACCCAGTCAGCTGCCATTGCTTTTGGACTATGGTTTTGGTTTGGAGGCACCATGAAGGATTTATTATCAGAGGATGAGTCATTGCAGTATATCTACCTGGGGCTTTCTGTGCTGTTTGGAGCAGGAGCGCTAATAGCCATGGGCTTCTTCAGGTGTTAGGTAGCCATGAGGCAGTTTCAATGTGTGCTCAGCTTTTTCACCTGCCTACTTGTGATAATTGCTGCTGAAGTAACCATTGGAGTATTTGTTTTGATAGGCAAGGGTGTAGCTATATGACATGCTCAGACCACATATAAAGAGGCTTATTATAACTATTACCTTACAGATAGGGAAAAGGGAAATAGGACTCTCAGTATTTTCTACTCAACATTTCAGTGCTGTGAAACAAAAGGTCTGAACAGGTCCAATCCATATGCCCAAAGGAGCTTCTAGTACACAGACATTGTATTGATGAAATTGGGACCATAATCAGAGTTAAGCTTCAGGTCATCAGAATTTGTTGGTATTGGAATTGCAGGTCTCATGGTCTTTGGCATGATGTTCAACATGGTCCTTGGGTGTGCAATGAATGCTAGATGCATGAGATGTGATATGAAGCCACTTCTACATGAAAACTGCAAGATACAGCTTTCACATGGCTGTTGCAGGAGCAGTCTCCTAGCTCATTTTTAATATTCGAAGGACACTTAGGATCTAAAATAATCTGCTGTTAATTGTACATTTGCACATGTATGAAGGTTTGGCTCATTACTGATTTACCCCTTGAGTAAATGCCTACTGCCTATGTTGACTGAAAGTATATTCATGTGTGATCTGCATATTTCTGGTATATGCATTATATATAATGAAATCTGTTTGTGGGGAATTCCAGATTCTTGTTATGTAAGAGCAACAACCTATTTACCTCTGAAAAAAGATCAAAAAATTTTTATAACCTTTAAAAACTTGGGTATTCAAAAAAGATTTTCCTAAGAAATATTCCATAAACTTTATAAAAAGTATTAGTTGACACATTTAAATATCTTTAAAATAGACCAAGGAATATCTTAGTAAAACAATAATAATTTCCCTCCATAAAGCCAGTTTATGCTTTAGAAACTAGAAAGATGTTATATCATGTGGTGAAAAAATTAGGCTTTAGAAATATTATAGAGATATCCAAAATCTATAAAGAACTTATTAAACTCAACACCCAAAGAACAAATGATCCAATCAAGAAATGGGCAGAAGACATGAACAGACATTTTTCCAAAAAGACATTCGAATGGCCAACAGACACATGAAAAAGTGCTCAACATCGCTCGGCATCAGGGAAATCCAAATCAAAACCTCAATGAGATACCACCTCACACCAGTCAGAATGGCTACAATTAACAAGTCAGGAAACGACAGATGTTGGCGGGGATGTGGAGAAAGGGGAACCCTCCTACATTGTTGGTGGGAATGCAACCTGGTGCAGCCACCCTGGAAAACAGTATGGAAGTTCCTCAAGAAGTTGAAAATAGAGCTACCCTATGATCCAGCAATTTCACTACTGGTTATTTACCCCAAAGATACAAATGTAGGGACCTGAAGGGGTACATGCACCCTGATATTTATAGCAGCAATGTCCACAACAGCCAAACTACGGAAAGAGCCAAGATGTCCATTGACAGATGAATGGATAAAGAAGATGTGGTGTACACACACACACACACACACACACACACACACACACACACACACACACTGGAATATTATGCAGCCATCAAAAGGAATGCAAATCTTGCCATTTGCAACAACGTGGATGGAAATGGAGGGTATGCTGAGCGAAATAAGTCAATCAGAGAAAGACATGTATCATATGACCTCACTGATATGAGGAATTCTTAATCTCAAGAAACAAACAGGGTTGCTGGAGTGGTGGGGCGTGGGAGGGATGGGGTGGCTGGGTGATAGACATTGGGGAGGGTATGTACTATAGTGAGCGCTGTGAATTGTGTAGGACTGTTGAATCACAGACCTGTACCTCTGAAACAAATAATACATTATATGTAAAAAAAAAAAAAAAGAAGAAGAAGAAGAAGATAGCAGAAAGGGAAGAATGAAGGGGGGAAATTGGAGGGGGAGACGAACCATGAGAGACTATGGACTCTGAGAAACAAACTGAGGGTTCTAGAGGGGAGGGGCATGGGGGGATGGGTTAGCCTGGTGATGGGTATTAAAGAGGGCACGTACTGCATGGAGCACTGGGTGTTATATGCAAACAATGAATCATGGAACACTACATCAAAAACTAATGATGTAATGTATGGTGATTAACATAACATAATAATAAAAAAAACTAGAAAAAAACTAATGATGTAATGTATGGTGATTAAGATAATAAAAAAATAAAAAAAATGAAATATTATAGAGATTCATACCTCTAGTTTTTACCTTTATAACTATTCTTTTAAGATTTAAATAGCTTTATTGAGACATAATTCAAATGCCATACAATTTACTTAAAGCGTACAATTCAATGGTATTTACCATGTTCCCAGAGTTGTTTAACTATAACTACAAAAAGAAACTTCATACCATTAACAATCAACCCCCTTTTTCCCCGACCTTCCCTAGACCTAGGCAACCACTAATCTACTTTTTGTATCTATAGATTTGCCAATTTTGGACATTTCTTATAAATGGAATCATACAATCTTTTGTGACTGGCTTCTTTCATTCAGCATAATGTTTTCAAGGCTTACTCATGTTGTAACATGTATTATTACTCATTCCTTTTTATTATATATCACATTGAATAATATCACATTGTATGGATAGGTCACATTTTATTTATCCATTCATTACTTGATGGTCATTTGGGTTGTTTCTCCTTTTTGGCTATTATAAATATTGCTTCTCTGAATATTCATGTGTGAGTTTTTGACTGAACATGTATTTTATCTTGGATATATACTTAAGAGTGGAATTGTTCAGTCATACAGTAACTCAATGTTTTATATTTAAGGAACTGAAAATTACTTTCCAGAGTGGTTACATCATTTTACATTCCCGCCCGCAATGCGTGAGTTTTGTAATTTCTTCACATCCTGGCCAATACTTGTCTTTTTGATTATAGTCATCCTAATGTGTGTGAAGTGGTATCTCATTGTGGTAGAAAAAGAAAACTTTCACCTCATTTTCTCTTCCAGAAGTTTTGGAAAGTACACTAATTTTAACATAAACCTAAGTAAATCAGTTTGAAAAGTCCTTTATGTCACTCTCTCTCCCCCACATTTCCCTTCTGTCAGGACCTTGAGAGAGAATTCAGAATTGAACTGGGCTCCACAATTCGTCTCTGATTCTGGAGATTGCAGACTTTCTTCATGGCATCAGTGAACTGATGCTTATCAAGACATTTAAAATAGCTCTTCTTGGCTTTTAATATAAAATAGAAGCCAAGGAAGAGCTGTTTCCCCAAACCAGAGCCAGCTTCCACACTTATTCCCACATGTTTCCCCCTAACTATGAGAAGACATCATTACTCCACCCCCAACTGCATCCCTGTGTATTTTATTCTGTGAGAAGTTCTGGAGAATATATAAGGGATACCTTTTTCCCTTTTATTCTTACCGTTATCATTGGCATATTTATTGTACATCTACCATAAGTGGGGCATTTTGTATCAAAGATATGGTCCCAATTATTAAGGACTTTTTTCTTTTGAGAGGGGTAAAGAGTAGAGAATTTTATTTTTCCCTATTTGTTTTGTTATTTCTGTAAGAGTAATTAACTCTTCATTTAAGAAACTAAGACCATTAATTATACTTCCAGTTTAGTACAGAAGACTGAATTACAGCTTAGATCTGTTTGAAATTTATATTCATAGTTTACATTTATCTAAATTTAATATCTATAGCTATTGAAATTGGGAACAACCAGAATAGCTATTGAATTAATCATAGAGTCCTATTTTTTTCTCTTCAAATTTTTCTTGTCAGTAATATCATGCTTGTTATGCAATTCTTACCTGGCAGTCAGAAGTCCAAGTGCCTCCAAAGGGCAAGAAAATTTCCATCTTCTCAAAATGGTATGTATTTCTGAAACAGTCCTTTCATCCCATCCAGGGGCACTACCCAGGACCAAAGGAAGGGAGCAGTTTTCATTATTGCAGTAGAAACGATAAAACCATAAGTATCTTCTCTTTTCCTCAGAGAGTCTGCAAAACCAAATTGGAAACTGTAATTTATTGGAGTTTGCTACACTAACAAATGTTATAGTACAAAATCTTACTCAGTTCTTTGAATTTCATTTTAGTTTACTTTGGAAAACATGTCCTTTATCTTCTTGGGACAATTTGATAGGTTATTTTATGAGCTTATTTCCTACTAACTTCCTTCTTTTATGGAAAAATAAAATAGAGCTCAGTTCAGATAATTCACATTTATTTTTCCTCCCTCTCATTTTGTCATAATAATGACAAAAATGTCATTTTGGTTAACAAAATCTCTGTCTCCTTTAGGGCAGAGCAAGTTTTATCTGAATCCTGCCACATGTACTACTTAGAACAGAGGTAATCGAAAATTTACTCTCTTACTTTCTTTACAAGTTAATTTAGACCCAAGTGTGCCTGTGAAGCAATGGCATATTTAAAAGATGATATTCCTTCATCTCAAAGCAAGTTTCATGAGAGTTCAGAAAACTCTGCACTAAACTTCAAAAACAAAGATTTCAATTCATCCCTGGATTTGGGCTTTAAATTCTTATATTTAGCTGGAAGTTTGGAATTAGAATGCCAGTGAATAGGATTTCTTTAAATGCCCAAGTGTTTCTCCCTAGAGAATGGTTCCAAACAGAAGATCGAAATCTAGGACTGGGGCCATTGACTTGCTGACAGTTTATCATATTTTGATCACACTCCAGCAGAAGCATTCAGAACCACAGTTCAACTGGAGGACAGCATTTCTCACATGACAATGACAGCTTTTGAACACTGTCTCCTCCAAACTGACAGTGTTGCTCAGCTTAAAGTAGCTAAAACTTCTAAGAAGGATAGTAAGAAATATTAAAATATTTTAAAGGTTAATATTTCTCTGCATTTTTAAAAGCCACCTTCATCTACAAAATGAAAGGGTTGGATTATAGAGATTTTTGAAGTATATTTTGGTTCCTGTCCTATTTTGTCACTACCTTCCCCACCAGAAAGTCCTCAGAAGAAAAAAATTCTGTTACAAAATTATCAAATTATGACTAAACCAAATTAGTTTGTTCTAATTAAATTCCTTTCTCCCCAGTATTGAACAAGACATTTTTCTTTTACTTTCTTTTAGTGAAGCATACTTTACATCAAAAGGAATGCACACATTCAGTTCAATAAATTTTAACAAATGCATATTCTGAATAAAAACCATACTCCTTTCAAGATACAAGTTTTCTCATGCAAACAGAGGTAAGCACTGGCAGGATTTCTTTCACTCAGGATTAATATTACCTATTTTAGAACTTCACATAAATGGAATCATAGAGTAAATATTTTTATTTATAGCTTCTTTCACTCAGTATGTTTTAAAATTATCCATATTGTTGAGTATATCAGTAGTCCATACATTTTAGCTAATGAGCATTATTCCTTTGTATGAATACACCACAGTTTGCTTATCCGTTCTCCTATCTGATGGACATTTGAAGTTCCTGTTTGGGGATATTATGAGTAAAGTTGCTGTAAATATTTGTATGCAAGTGTTTGTAAGGATGTATTTTTTCATTTATCCTAGGAAGTTCCTGGGAGGGGGATGACTGGGTTTTATAACAGGTGTTTGTTTACCTTTTGAAGAAACTGTCAAAATATTTTCTGAAGTGGTTGTAAAATTTTACACTATTATGTGCAGAGTATGATAGTGCTGGTTGTACCACGTTCTTGCTAATACTTGATTTTGCCCATTTTAAGATATTATCCATTCTAATGGGTGCATAGTGGTATCTATACAACTAATTTGGGGAGAATTAGCATTGTCATCTTAACAATAGGGAGTATTCTAATCAATGACATGCTATAACCTTCCATTTATTGAGGTTTTCTTTAATTTCTCTTAGCAAAGTTTTATACTTTTTAATGTAGAGGTTTTGATAGTTAATTGAATTTTATTTTATTTTTTATTTATTTTTTATTATTAACAAATAATGTATTATTTGTTTCAGGGGTACAGGTCTGTGATTCATCAGTCTTACACAATACACAGCACTCACCACAACACATACCCTCCCCAATGGTCTAAAGACTTATTTATTTATTTGAGAGAGAGAGAGATTGAGTGGGGTGACGGGCAGAGGAAGAGGGAGACAAGCAAATTCCCTGCTGAGTGGAGAGCCCATCAAGGGGCTTGATCTCATGACCCTGAAGTCATGACCTGAGCCGAAATCAAGAGTGGGACACCTAACTGACTGAGCCACCCAGGTGCCCCTATAAATTGAATTTTAAAACAAAATTTATTTTCTGTTTTTCACTGAAATACACTTGCATTTTGTACATTGATGCCAAATGCTATGATCTTACAATAATCATATCATCTGAAAATAGAGGAAGTTTTATTTCCTTCTTTCCCAGTTTGACACATTTAATTTCTTTTTCTTATGATAGTGCACTGGCTAGGACTTCCAATACAACACTGAAGAGAAATATTTAGATAGATAGCCTTGCTTTCCAGTTGTAGGGGGAAAGCATTCATTCTTGCAACATTTAATATGATGTTAACTCTAGATTTTTCCATAGATCTAGATTTAACTCGGGATTTTAAGGTTGAGAAAGTTCCATTCTATTCCTAGTTTTGTGAGTTTTTATTATGAATGAGTGTTGAATTTTGTCAATTGTCTTTTTCCCCAAATCTATCAAGATGATATAATTTTTCTTATGTATCTTTTTCCATTTTTAAAGTTTTAATCTAGCTGAATCCTTATATTTAAAATATAGGCCTGTAAGTAGCATAAAGTTGCATGTTGCTTTTGTAAGGTAGGTGACAGTTTCTGTTTTTAATTGGAGTTTTTATTCCATTTATATTTAACATAGTATGGATATAATTGGTTTTAATTCAACCATATTGCTATTAGTTTGTTGTTGTTGTTTTCAAAGCATTTCTTTGTCCCTTTTCCCTTTTTTCCTGTCATCTTTTGAATTATTTTCTTGTATTTCATTTTTGTCTTCCTCTTGTTCTGTAAATGTGCACCTAAAATTTGGGTGGTGTAGTTCTCTAGAGATTGCAATATTATCTTTAGCATATCACAGCCAACAGTGAATTAATATTAATTCGCCTTCTGTATAAGAACCTTAAAACAGTATGCTTTCATTCTTCCATTTCTTATTCTTATTATAGTTGTCATGCATTTTATTTTCATATATTACAAACCCAGCAGTACATTGTAATTATTTTTGCCTTATATAGTTATTTTTTAAAGAAATTGTTAAATGTGTAAGTAAAAGTAATTTTATTTCCCACCTATTTTCCCTTTGTAGTGCTTTTCATTTATTCTTATATATTGAGCTTTCATCTATTTATCCTTTTCTTTCAGCTGGTAGTATTTCCTTTAAGATTTCTTACAATACACATAAGCTGATCATAAACAAATTCAGCTGTGTTTAATTGGAAATATTTTTATTCCACCTTCATTTTTTAAATATAATTTTACTGGTTATAGAATTCTAAGTTGATAGATTTTCTTTTTCCCTCTCTAGATGTAAGATAATAGTCTACTGTCTTTTGGTTCCCCTTATTTCTGATGAGAAATCTGCAGTTAATATGATAGTTGTCCCCCTGTAGGAATTTGTTTATTTTCTCTGATGTTTTAAGAATTTTTATCTTTATGTTTAGTTTTTAGAAATTTGACTATAATATGGATGTGTGGGGGTGTCTGTGTGTTTGTTTGGGAGTTGCTAGTTTCTTATATCTGTCGGTAGAAGTTCAAAAAAATCGGTAAAATTTTGACTATTATCACTTATTTTTTATTTTATTTTATTTTTTTGGCCTAGATCTTTCTCTCCACTCCTGTGTGTCCAATACACATATTGTCAGTATTGTCTGACAGGTTACAAGGATCTATCACTATTTTTAGGATTCGTTTTTTCTGTACTTCAACATGGCTTATTTTCTATCACCCTTTCTTCAAGCTCACTGTTGTTTCTTTATTATGCAATCTATTAAGCCTTTCCAGTGATTTTTAGAAAATTTAGATACTGTGTTTTTCAGCTTTTAAATTTACAATTTTATTTACTGAGACTTCAATTGTTCACTCATATATATCTTTTTTTTTTTTTTTTTGGAAATCCATAGATGTCTTTATAAGAGTTGTATTTAAATCATTAGCTGCTAGTTTAAAAATATTTGGATTTGTCTCTGTTAACTGCTTCCTCTTATCCTGGGCTATGGTTATATATTCCTGAGTCTTTCCATGTCTAGCAATTATTCATTGTATGTTAAATATTTAAAATGCTACATTGTCTGCATTTTGCCAACTTTTTGGTGTTAAATGTTTTGATTTTTTTTTTAGTAGACAGGTTAAGCACTAGCAGATCAACTTTAGCCTTTTTTAAAATTATTATTATTTTTTAAATTTTTTATTGTTATGTTAATCACCATACATTACATCATTAGGATTGATATAGTGTTCCATGATTCATTGTTTGTGCATAAAACCCAGTGCTCCACGCAGAACGTGCCCTCTTTAATACCCATCACCAGGCTAACCCAGCCCCCCACCACCCTCCCCTCTAGAAACCTCAGTTTTTCAGAGTCCATCGTCTCTCATGGTTCGTCTCCCCCTCCGATTTATTTCCCTTCATTCTTCCCCTCCTGCTAACTTCTTCTTCTTCTTTTTTTTTTAACATCTAATGTATTATTTATTTCAGAGGTACAGATCTGTGATTCAACAGTCTTGCAAAATTCATAGCACTCACCATAGCACATACCCTCCCCAATGTCTATCACCCAGCCCCCCCATCCCTCCCACTCCCCCAGCACTCCAGCAACCCTCAGTTTGTTTCCTGAGATTAAGAATTCCTCATATCAGTGAGGTCATATGATATATGTCTTTCTCTGATTGACTTATTTCACTCAGCATAATACCCTCCAGTTCCATCCACATCGTTGCAAATGGCAAGATCTCATTCTTCTTTATGGCTGCGTAATATTCCATTGTGTATATATACCACTTCTTCTTTTGATTTTGGAT